ATCTATCTATCTATAATTATAGGCTTTGGTCCACAATAAGCAGTATATAAGTCTCATAAATAAATAAATAAATAAACTCCACATATAACATGCAAAGCATTTTTAAAAAGGTGCTTCTCAATATATGGGGTACAAGCGAAGCATTTCTTTTTGGATAATTAAATGATCATGTTTTTGCCAAGTTTGCACAGATAGTTTGGAATCTGATCTCAGCTGTCTCTGTCTAAGCTTTACAGAATGTAGGCCTTATAAATTTGGTTGACTGATGGACCGGCAGATATACAGATAGATATAACTAATTTAAAAAAGAAAAGAAAAGCTCAGCTTCCTGAATACCATTACAGGTAGTTCCCGACTTATAATCTTGTTTTACAACCTTGTTTAGTTAGTAATTAAGAAAACATTATGGTCATTACGTGAATTCCACAGTCATTAAGTGAACCTATTGTTTGCTATGGACCAGTTTTTGACAGAAACTGGAAGTAAACCCAATTTCCACATAATTGTGGATATGTGACTGAAGGACATTGCAAACAGCTGTAAATGTGGGTTGGTTACCAATTACCCAAAATGTGGTCACAAGACCATGGAGGGGCAGCCATCAGAACTTCAGAACCAGGTTGTAAATAGCTTTTGGAGGAGTCTAACATAACTTTGAATGGTCTCTTAGCAACCAGTCATAAATTGAGGACTATCTATAGACTTCATGCCTAACCAGTTCATACAGTCCTCTCATTAATAGCTATTGTAAGAGAAGGACAAAAGCTAGATTTGAAATTATTGGTAGTTCTCCAATCCAGTCTAATCCTAACGTTCCCAGATACCAAAAGTAGAATATTTTGCCCTGGGCTCTTAAGAGTTCTAGTAAAAATAGAAAGGTCCATTATACTGGCTCAAGTTCAGTCTTCCTTAACTTTAAGTATCTACTCCAATATTTTGTTTTGAGATTATGAGAACAGGAACAGAAGTTCCCTGTGTGCATTGCTCATATCTGAAATTGTGAGTGTAAGTGGCTTAATTCTCCAAAGATCTGTATATTATTTGATTTGAAGAGGTTCATATTCAAATGTTACTCCAGGAAGTGAGACAATCCACTTGGATGTGCATTTCTATACTCTTATTATTATAAATGGCACTTACGGATTTTTTCCCTTGGACTGAACTACTGGCTCTGTGAAAGTCAAACCCCAGTTCCCATATTAGAATTTCTTTTCTGCATTTTGTTCCTTATCCCAACTATTAAAAAACTGTCAAAATGCTCAAATAACACATGATGGCTATCATTCAGTTATCTTAAATTTCATGTCCATCAAATCTCAGAACTGAAGCACAGATTTCAAATGGCAACAGGGAATTATTTTCAGTGGCTAAGTAATGAACTGCTTGTTTCTGTCAAACATTATTTGGGGGTTTGAGAAAGTAGTTTCAGCTTGACTGTCAATTCTCTAGTGGAGACGCTGATTCTCAGACCATTGTGGATTTTTGTTAATATTTTAAGGAAAGATGGAAATAGTATAAAGAATAAAATATATTTAGATATAAAACTTCTTACATTGTATTGACATTATTCAATACTTCTCTTTCCATTGCTTAGATTTTGCATTATGTACTTGTCCTGTGTCTGTCGGTATGCCTATCTAGCTTTATGTTTCCTTATAAAAATAGATGTAATAAATGTTGCTGAGTAAGAGCTCAGTTTATTCCTATCTCTATGGCAGCAACTTCTGATTTCTTTGTCATATGCATGGGCTGATTTTGTGTTGCTTATAACAGCTGCCTCTGCTAAGACTGCAAAGGTCTAAATAAGCTGTGTGAGGCAGCAAAAATAACCAGAAAGCTGCAACTGTAAAGTTTCCATGGCATCTTTGGATTTTTATTAACTAATGTATTGTGCACAGCTGCAATTGATAATGTTCTTTCCCATATTAAATACTGACTTACCCATGTTTCCATCACTTGACTCACTCCTGCCTTGATTCATGACAGCTAAGATTAATTTAAAAATCTTGCCTTCTTTCTCAGTGGTCTAGTATAAGAGCTAGCATTACAATAGCACAACACAGACCACTTTGTCTTCTAAAGTGCCAAAAAAACCCACAACATATTAATTTAGTTTTGAGACAGTAATCCTAAATGGGGGAGAGGTAAGAGTGAAACAAGGGGAAAGTGGAGCTGTCCTTTCTCTATCCAGTGAATTTAAAATGAACAAAACCTTCCTTCTCTTTCCTCCTCCACTGAAGTTAAGGGAAAAAACTGATGTAGTACAGTGACTGATCTCAATCCCATTATCAGGCTGCTGGCTAAAGGTTCTGAAAGTTATGACTGCTTTTTAATTTAATTTAAAAATAAATATATGTTTGCTAAATCTAACATCTGCTTACTTCATATTTAGCTACTAACAGAATGCAATTGTTGACTGAACTATAACTCCAAGCAACACTTGGAGATAATAAAGAATCTTAGGATTCGTAATTCAGTGACTTCTGTTTCTCCCAAAATTAATCCAAAAGTTCTAAGCTAGGGGCAAAATTTCAGATCTATAAATCTGAAATTACAGGGATAAATGCATTATAAAATAAGTTGATATATGATAGTGAACCCAAAAATGCTTTCCAGACATAATGATGTATGGAAAATATTTATCATATTACTGTAATAAAATCAAACAACCTATTTTATACTGTACATAGCATTTATGTAACTGTAATTAATTAGAAATTCGATTAAATTCATCCCTAGTTTAAACAAATACTAAGACCCAGTCCTATATTTTTAGCAGTATGTTAATATCCTTGAACTCAGTGGAATTTGCTTTTGAGTAAAGGTTTTTAGGAAGCTAGAGGTTTCTACATAATTATTAAAACATTTCGAGGCACCTTAACAGCCAATATAAACTTCATCTAACTAAGCTGATTTAGCTCCACAGAGATCAGTAGAACTAAGTGACAGAAATCTTTGACAATTGGATTATGGACTGATTGTGATTAGAATGTGAGCTTCCTTGAGAAATGTAGGAGCTATTATAATAAAATTGGATTACAAACCTTTCCCATTTTAATTCCTTTTAAAAAGCCTTATTTAAATTAATGTTTTCTTTCATTACCAGAGCATTTTCACCAATGTCTTAATCTGAGCTTGTTTTGAGTTTCATTATTTGAAGTAATACAGTAAATACTAAGAATTTCTTAAAACTACTACATAGTAAATTCAGGGTGGAAGTAATTTAGAACTGACCTATCTTAGATTTTACCATATGAAGTCACATTTTGCACAAATATATCACACATAAGCAGTGCAAAAAACTAATTATTCTGCTTCATCAAGCTAAAAGATGGTACCAGAAATGTTATATGGTATATATTTTGTTCAGCAAATTGAAGCCTGAGCCATTTAATATATACACATTTTAGTTTGGACTGAAAGCCTTGTTCATCTTGCCCAATCTTGTCCAAAAGATATAACGAAGACAAAAATACATGGATGTGGACTTGGGGACATCTATGAAGAAGGATAAACAAGTCAAGATAGTGCCCATAGTCATATAGATCCACACCCCAATAGCACAAATAAAAGCAGGACTGGCTTGATAGTGTAGTTGTAGCCACCATTTTGACTTTTTTGATGTCCTCTGCTGATGTCTCTGTTTGGAGTACAAATAAATTTGAATATGTAAAATGTCACCAGCTTATCATGTGAAAAAAACTTATGCAGGTATAATCCATTCAGATTCCATGAACAGAGTGCAAACACAGCAAGAATTACTTGGCAAAAGCCAGAATGTACCATGATTAATGTAGTTACAAATTATTGGAAGAGAGAGAGATTAGAGCAGTGGTTCTCAACCTGTGGGTCGGGACCCCATTTGGGGTCGAACGACCATTTCACGGGGGTCGCCAAACAAGGCTGTCCACCATTTTTTTCCCCTTTTCTTTGGCCATGCCCTGGCACCCGATGATGTATAAGTGGTTGGGGGTCACCACAACATTGGGAACTGTATTATGGGGTCGCGGCATTAAAAAGGTTGAGAACCACTGGATTAGAGTTTGTCCAGAGACAGAATAAAAAACTGTATGATAAAATGGATGCAAAACTTTAAAGAAATAATACCGATAGAACAATTGGAAAAACTATGGAACAAATCTATAAAATTATAGATTTGGTAACTCAGGTTACAACTTAAGAGAACATTGGTACAAAATATTTCAATGGTGTACAATTGTCAATAATTGCCAATATTGATAAATCATATAGTAAGTGCTGAAAATGCTATTATGCAAAAAGAACATTTTACTATATGAAATGGACATGTTTTAAAACAACCCTCCAAAGTATTCAGAAAATTTTAGAAACCAAGTTTCAATTAAAACCTTTTTAGTAACATAATTCCAAGGTACATCAGCAAAATCATCACGATTTAATAAAATACATTCACAGTCATAAGGATCTTTTGACTGTGATATGACATCAAAAAGAAGATAGTTTGACCTAAGTAGTTTAAACAACTGTATATTGTTTATTTTATGTATAACCTGTATATATATTATGCAGCAAGACAAATTTAAATATTTAGATTATAGCTTTAAGGGAAAAAGAATTAACCAGAAATTCAAATCAGAACTATATGAACATTTTAAATGTTTATAAATACTGTATCTGAGAATGGCTATAACAAAAGTCAATTTAAGATCTTGTAGTATCCTAAGTGTGACAAGTTCTGCACGTTGTGCCAAATGCATTTGCTTAATTTTTGTCTTGGTTAAAGGTAGGGTGAAAACAACCTGCGCTGCTTCGACTTTCTTTTTTTTTCTTTTTAATAAGCAAGCACTCTTCCCCTGCTCCTTCTGCGAGGTCCATTATTGATCGCCAGGCCACTCTTTTAATTTCTCCAGATGGGAAGAGGAGGAGGAGGCGGAGGGGGGGGTGGAGGTAGAAAAGTGAGCAAGAAGGACCCTCACGTGCCGCTGAGTTGAATAGGAAGCGGCGCTGGCGCACTCCCAGCCACCCATCGCGCGCCCCCGGAATTTGCTCTTCGGGGCCGCGCACGCGGCCACTCGGCAGCGCGCTCGATAGTCTCTGCCCTAATGCGGGAGTCTGGGAAGGAAGGCGCTGCAGAAGGATGGGAGCTGTTCGGTGAAGCGGCGGGGGCAGCCAAGTCCCCTAGCTCGGCGGCTGGTTCTGATCGGGAATAGGGTATTTGGGGCAACCTCGAACCAGCCTTCCAGACGAGAAAGGAAAAGGAAGCTCAACGGGAACGGCGGTAGCGGCTGCCGGCCAGGTAAGGAAGGGATGCCGCCGTTGCTGCACGGAGGGGCAGCTTCAGACAGGGACACAGAAGAAAGCACCTTTCGGTCATCTGGTTGTGGCCCAGTCGGGCAGCAGGAGAAAAGAGAGGCTGTCGGTGGGCTCGCATCGATGGCAGACCCAGGGAGGGGTTTCCCGTCCCACCACCAAGGTCCCACTCTTCGGTCCTGAGTCCGCTCGCTCTTTTTTTCCTTGCCCCGACCGCCACCCCACCGCCACCCCCGTGGCCTCCGCTGCAGCCTGGTCTCTCCTTTTCATGAATGAGCTCCTCACTTAACCAAGCGGCTGCTCCCCTGAGACGAGGAATCTCCTTTGCTGCCCAGCAAAGACGTTAAGAGTTTGCTTTTGGAGGGGATGCGGCGGGGGGGGGGGGTGGAATTGAACTGGAGTTGCAGTTTTAGGGTGGTGGTGATAGGCTTCAGCATCAGTAGATACTGAGAGGCTTGAGAATCTGGAATCTGGCCCGCTTTTCATCCTTGGTTGGTGGGGATTGATAGAAGCCACCGGATTGCTTTGGGAAGGAAGCTTGTCTCTTTAATTTTTTGAGAAAGTTCTCTCTGTGTGGTTCAGCCTCCCAACATATATGCAAAATTTGAATTTGAAACTTGGCCCTGACTCAAAATGCAGAAAAGGAAATAGCAAGGATGATATCAGGCAGCAATCTCTTTCTTTTTTATTTTTCCTCTGATATTTGGAAGGCCTGGACACCATGGTTTTCTTTTCTCTTTTTCTCCTTTTCTAATTCTCTTTTTTTCTCTTCTCTCTCCCTCCCCCCCTCTATTTCTTTTTTTCCTTTTTTCTTTGCTGAAGAGACCCTTGGGGTGCAGGAGTAGATAACCATCCACCGAGGACAAAGATGCAGCTGCTGTGAATGGGCATGCTCCATCTTTTAATTCTCGTTTATGTGTATATATGTATGTTTTAAAAGGAGATGTGAGAAGGGACTGGGATTTTCAGGATTACAGTAAATTAACAGATCTTGAATTTGAAACTTGGCCCTGACTCAAAATACAGAAAAGGAAGTAGCAAGGACTATATCGGAAAGCAACCTCTTTCTTTTTTATTTTGCCTCTGCATCCACTGGATCAGGTGTGGTACAATGAGTATCTCCATTTTTCTGTCTGAGCAACCCCGAATGCTTTGACAAAAAAAGGAACAGAGGCCTCCACTTCTAAAATTTAATCCATAAAGGGTCTCTGGTGATTTATGAAAAACTGTTATGGGACAAGAGTCCAGGACATATTTCTGAAACATTTAGAACTAACCTCAGTCTAAACAAGATGCTGGTGAAACATTTTTTTTCAAGTTAGCAATGGGTGGAACAATACATGTGACCATGTTAATTATGATTAGCTAGAATCAAAGCTATGTGGTTTTTTAAAAAATGTGATCTTAGCACATGCTAACTTAGTTAATGTGGTATTGATTAAGAGGTGAAAGTGCTGAATCATTTGTACTTTTCTGCTCCCAGCATGTCCGGTTCTTCAGTTCCATTAGAGTCATCAGGAAGTGAAAGATCTAATTGCGGCATGGTCAGCCTTTAGCATCTTTCTTTATGTGCAGCAATGTTGCTTAGCTGAGGGTGTAGTGTGGGTTTCCTTTGGATGTAAAAAGGCAGCTATCATATCACAGACTAGTGTTTCTCAGCCTTGGCCACTTTAAGATGGGTGGACTTCAACTCCCAGAATTCCATAGCCAGCTTTGGAGTTGAAGTGCACCCATCTTAAAGTGGCCAAGGTTGAGACACTTTGACATAGGGGAACAACTTTCTCAAAATATGTCAGTAGAGCACAGAAAATGGGCTTATTATTGTTAGCTGAAATGTGGTCGGGAAGTTGACAGCAATAAAAATAATTTTGGTGTTTTAACTCTGGAAATGAAAAGAGTCTACCCATCTGATCCATACCCATCACAACATTACTGAATTGGGTCTCACTGTATCCAGCAATTAATGATGAATTAGCAATACTGTTTATGAAAAATGTGTGGCAAATTTTAATTAATATGGGGATTTTAAAATCAGCACTGATTTTGATGAGAGATAGTAAAATACATATTTACCTCTTAGACAAAAGTCAGTTTAGTTCAACCTTTATATACCCCTGTAACTGGACATGTTAGGTAAAATATTTACTGTAAAAAATTAAAAATTACATCTCTTAATGCTTTCTTATTTTGGAAATTATGTATTTATACCTAATTAACCCTTTGGCCAGCCTTATCCACAAGATGGGTACAAGAAGGCCTTCTTGTACCATTAGTATGTGCAATACTGACATTCAGAAGTACAGGCTCTAATATTACCTCAGCATTTTCATAGACTTTAGCACTGATTTATTAATATGGAAATGAAGGTACGGGAGAGGGGAACCAACAGCATCTTAGAATTATCCTTAGTTTTCTTACAGAGATTCAACAGTGCAAACTCAGTTATTTTTGGTGTGTGCATCAGAAGTACTTTTGCATTCTTGTACATGCTCATAGCCAATACTAGTGGAAGGAAACTAGTTGTCAGAATTACCTGATACTAACACACCATCAAAAGATGCATCAGTTCATTGTTGAAATATTTTTGTTCCAACTCAAATTTAAACCTCTTGTTTTATAGTTATTTGTTGACTAACAAAAAGTTCTCCAACTTCTTGCTGTTGGACCTTAGAGCACTTATATTAAGATAACAGGGCCTCTTTAATTAATATTGAAAGAGATTTTGAAGACACAGAATAGTGTGCAGGGCTAACATTGTGCTTAGTGAAATGATATTTCTTCTGTGTAGTTTTAATAGATCTGATTTCTCTCCCTCACCTTCCTACTACATGATAAGACTGTAGGATACAGGGAAAGAGAAAACACCATGGAGCAAACCCCGCACTCACAAGAATGATGTTGCCTATTTGGGTAATGGAACTTCTACAAGCAAATAACCAAGCTCAGAGAGCATCAAGGGCTCCTTAGTTCAAATCTAAGCTATGTATGTTATTTTCTATTAAAATGGGGGCAAATACTTTTTATGATATTGTGTTGAACCTTTGAGGAGGGAGTAGCAATTTCCTAGGAGGCTTGGGAACATAACTAAAGAAAAAATAGGTTTAGGAATCTTGACTGAAAAATAGGTGACTTACAGTTAATAATGATGTATTTATTAGAGAGTAACTGATTGTGAGAGATAATGATTCCCAGTAAATCATAAACACTGGGAATTAGGGTCTTATAAGCTAGAAGCTGGGTAAGTCTGGATGTAGTTTCAGTCCCCTTGAAGAAGCAGGTATGTAGCCTTTGTATAGTTCAAGATTTATCTCTGTCATATGGGGCCCATGGGGCATTTGATTATCTATGCTTGGTTCAGACACTATGATTCTTCATGGAGCAAGACCTCATGGCCACAGTAGTCCAGTAGTTTTACTCCTAGTCTCCTGGTTCTTAGTTTTATGTCTTAACCACCAAACTGGTTTCCCTAGAGTATATCGTAGTAATCTAAAAGGAAGGTTATTACAGGATGGACTACTGTGGCCAAGAAGGTCTTGCTTCATGAAGAGTCATAGTGTCTGAACCAAGCACAGATAATCAAGTGCCCCGTGACAGAGATAAATCTCAAAGACTTAGGAACAAAACCAGCTGGATAATCTTAGGGCAGTCACTATTTCTCAGACAAAGGAAGAAGACAAAGCGACTTCCAAACATTTTGCCAAGAAAACTGCAGGAACTTGTCCAAGCAGTTACCAGGAGACAACAAGTACTCGAAGACATAGAATTTTAAATATAGTCTATAAGTACCTTTGATGAAAATTCAAAACAGTGGGTAGTTTATATGGAACAGCTTTATCTATCTTAAAGTGTTCTTTCAGTCCTAAACTGGATGCCCAAATGCTTCTAATGACATCTCGGGATATTAGGAATTAAAGCTTCACCCCCATAGCTGCTGCTTGGACAAGCCCCTGCAATTTTCTTAACAAGGTTTTGCAGATGTGATTTGCCCTTGCCTCTTTCCTAGGGCTGAGAGAAAGTGACTGGTCCAAAGTCACCCATGTGGCTTTGTGCCTAAAGTGGGACTAGAACTCATGGTTTCCCTGGTTTCTAGTCTGATGCCTTAAACACTATACTGTATCAAACTGGTTTTCTTTAAAGCCTTTAGAGCAGGGGTGTCAAACTTAATTTCATTGAGGGCCGCATCAGCAGTGCGGTTGCCCTTGGGGGGCTGAGTGGGTGTGGCCAGGGTAGGTGCAGCCTACTGGGTGGGTGTGGCTGGAGTGGGTGTGGCCTACTGGGTGGGAATGGCCAGCTCTATATCGTTCGCGTCAAGGGTGCCTGTGTGGGCCTGGGCAGGAGTGGGACAATTCTGGGGGTCTCTGGTAGAAGGGGATGGGACCAGGGCAAGTGCCAAGGCATGGTCCATTTCTTCATTCCTCACAAAGGGTGACACCTCACCAGCATGCACCCAGGGGGTGGGGCCGACGCGGCAGGGGCTGGTTCCTCGCTGTTTCCGGGCAGCCTTGTGGAGCTAAGACTGAATGCCTTTCAGCATAGATGGCCATCACAAAATTGTACATTGGCTCCCGGCCGGCCTGGGCCAGGGCCAAGGCAGCAGGGGCCGTTCCCTCACTGTTTCCAGGGTGACTTCGCGGGCCACAAGAAACCACTTTACGGGCCGCATCCGGGCCCCGGGCCTTGTGTTTGACATGTCTGCTTTAGAGGTTAGGATCCTGATATTTAAGAGAGCCCCTCTCCCCAAAAATTACCATACAAGATTAACAAGGAGTCAACCCAGTGTCCCACAGCTGGGAGAGTCATCTTATGAGAGAACACATGAGGAAACCTTCTCTATTGCTACAGTTGATTTTGAGGAGGCTAAACTTGCACCTACAGTATTTATCTTTTGGCACTAAGGAAGATCTGGCTTCTTCCTCTTGTATCTAGGATTTATCATCTACCCCTTAACCATGCCCTTTAACCTAGAAATGCCTCAATTGTTGTTAT